TAATTGGCCAGTCGCAAGTAGTTTAGCAGAGAATAAATGTTAGGCAAAAGAAAAAATGGATTTGACGCGAGAGCATTGTCGCGCTATGATTTTCTATGATTTTAAAGTAGGATTAAATAAAAAAGGAATGTGTTTAACGTCTACAGTTAGTATACAACGTCTACAGCTGTATCGTGCTACTATATTCAGATCGTTTACACAATATCACAAAGGTTTGAACTTTATTCAGGATAAAGAACACACAGGAAAGACGATTTCAGCTGTGATCCTGGATAAAACGTCTGCCATACGGAAAATGTTAATCGATCATAATCCCTGCACTTACTAAATGATACAGAAGGAAGTTAACATTGTATCGGCTGTCATACATAAAACTATTCATGAAGAATTGTTCTGGAATAACACTAATTTGTCGTTCGGTTCCCCATTATTTAACTGAGCAGCAAAAAAAGGAGAGTGTCAATATAAGCAAAGAAACGCTTAAAATACTTAAAGATGGTGGCCATCGCCTCATTTCTGAAATCGTAATTGGTGATGAAATGTACATATATATAAATAAATTATAGTGAAAAACATCGGATGGGTGAATCATTCTATTGAGAGGTCGTATATGTGTATGTGTGTTTTAATATGTGTTTCAATTGAAAAGTACACTAGTTTTATTTACATTTACTGTATATTTTAAATGTAATAAGTAAAATAAACATATGGAAAAGACGCATGACGATGTAAAATTAGATATAAAAAACCACTCTATATTGTTCTAGAGGTTTAAGTAAATTTTTATTAGAATTTCAAAAGTAACCTGCAAAACCTCCTCTTCAAAGGCGGGGGAGAAAGAAAAAAGGCTGTTCAGCCTCGATTTCTTTTTCATTTGAAGAAAAATTACCTATGTCAGATATTTTTTTTTTAATTTGCTGAACTTTTGTAAAAAATTATGCCATTCTGTGATTGCTCTAATTTTATACGAAATGCTTATGTTTATAGGTAGGTAAACATAAGTGCTTACGGAAAAACTCGTCAACCACCAGTGACGGCGCCAATCGCGCCAAACGAAAAGCGTACACGTAACATGTGTAATCAAGGTTACACCAAACCCAGCGTGCCTGAAGAAGACTTTTCTATTTTTGGCGAAAAATAACGTAGTTTGGCGTCTTTTTTTAACAGGCAAAAATGGTCGACAGGATTTTCCGTAAGTACCTAAATATGTATACACGCTGTATATACATATATTCTAAAATTAACTGAGAAATAATTAAGTTATTCATCAATAACTACCATGCTAATTATAAGCCAGTTAAAAGAGTATACTGTTAAGAATTTTGTATACATGTAAATAATTTTGGCAAAATTATATGTGAAATTGTAGTGACTTTTGCATAATGTAACATGGAATGCCTGAAACTGATAAGCTGCCTCTGAAAAGTAAGATTACAGGGCAGAGGTAAATGAAGAATTGTCAACTATCGCCAAACTTCGCTTCATTTTGGTCCGACCCTTGTGTAACTGCACCTGTATCTGACTCTTATAAGTAACCTACTATATGTGCTTTTAGGTAAGTTCGAGAAATGTAAGGTAATGGATGATTCACGGCGGCTGGGGGAAAACGGTTAAGACAAGAGAAAGCGTCGGTTCTTAGTTTCAGTTCAATGTAGACTTCGGAGTATTGAGAGATCTCAATGCAAGCTTCTCTCTTTAACTGCGATTTGCATTGCGTTGTATTTAACGTTCTCAGTAGTCTGAAGTGACTGAATGCACAATACATTGTACTGAGAAGACCTGTACGAATACTTTTCTGGGAAGATTCAGAGCTGTAATATGCTTCTTTGGGGAAATAAATTTTATGAAGTCATCATAAAAGTTATTTCTAATATTTATTCATCTATGTGCATTCAATCCATTACGAACATTGTACGCGCGCAATAATATTTAATTTTTAACTCATTCAGATCATTTATTATTAACTAGTCTAGTTTTCTGTATATTTGAGGTTATGTAATTTTGTACAAATGCTGTATGTTTCCTCATTTAGCTGACTGTCATTTCCTTGTAACCGTGGTCTGAATTACACTGAATACCCATCGGTTTTTAGGAAAGATTTTGCTGCTTGGTTAGTGTATTCAAATACGATAAAAATAACTATTTAAGCTGCTCAACTATGTTTTTCTTTAAACTTCAATTATATAAATTAGGCCCTATAATTCTCTTATTCCTTGTGTCTCATTTAACGATTTGGTACAAAATAAAAATTCTCTACTTAAGCGTCCAGCTTACAATCTTCATAATTGAGAGCAATATACGCGTTCATTGTAATAGATTGATAATATATGATGCTTACTATAATTGCTTAGAATTATTATAGCTGTAATGTGTCATTTAAACATTGTAATGTATTTCCTACCTCCTTAGAATGTGTTTTCGTGGTGTAATTCGAAGTACGTCTGGCTGGAAATCGGGATTTCTGAAGATCCATTCCCGGCGAGGGCATTGGATATTTTTCCTGTCTCCTGCTCCGAACACCCAAACTAAAAGGTGGTGACCGAAAGTTCGTCAGCACCCGGATTTGACATTCGGGCCTCTGCCTGCCACTTCGCCCTTTAAGTGGGGGAGTATGCAAGGTATTTTCTACCTCCTTTCAGACTGCCTTGAAAGTGTAACTGAAAGCATGTCCTGCTAGCAATCGCAAGTTCCGGAGTTCAAATCGTGGTGAGTTCGTTGAACATTTTCACGTATACTTCTCATAAATATATAAGCGGCCGAGCGGTTAAGTCGCTGAACACTGGTAGTTCGGTCCGAGGTTCGAATCCCGCGAACGGGCTCCCTGCATGGGTGTTTTCGTGGTTCCCCATGTCCGTTATCGACCAGTTTTCCCTTAGAAATCTCCACGAAATCCCTCCCTCCCCTTCGGCAGATGGCCGAGTGTGAGATATCTCAGTTGTAAGCTTATCACTTTGACACGCTTCACTCATACGCCAATTTTTGTGCAAAATGTTGTGTAAGCATCAAAGTTATATATAGGTATAAAGCTTTCTGTGCAAAATAGTTGCACTTTATATGATTATTAAAAAACGAAAACAGTCTTAGTTAATATAGAATGAGGATTCAATTTAATTCAATTCTAAGATGTACATCTCATGAAATAAAATTTATAAACAATGCACACAAAAAACAGTATAGTGTAATATATACACAATATGTATAATCACGAAATTTTGCTTTCAGCAAAGTGCAAGTTTTATATACAGCGTAAAGTTGATTTCTTCTTTATATTTTACAAAATCTTTCAAAAATTGTTGAAAGCTCATTGAAAGATAAATCTTTTTTATACAGAAGTCTGGAAGATATGAGGATAATACCTCCGATTCCTGAAAGACGTTAAATACTTCAAGTAATTGGACGACAGTAGGTAAATTTTGTTTTGAAAAAAATGAGTGCGTTTATGTATGTCATAAAATTACTCAAATAATTAACAGGTTAGCATTCTGCATACCTTAAAATTCATTTTATGTGTGTGATTTTAATGCTCGCCTTGAATATACCACGTACACTGCGAAAAAAAAGGAGGGGTGACAGTTCTATACCTCTCGTTCTACTGGGCCGATTGACGAAATTTAACTTGCGTTTTTCATGTCTCAAAAGCGCGACTTAGAATAGATATTAGATTTATATATAAATTGCTCTAATACAGTATTTTGGCAAAATGGAAATTTTTCGAAATGACGTGCCATTGTTTTCTTTATTTCTATTCAAGACTCACTATCCTAACTATTAATTTTGTAAAATTGTAGCAAGTTCAAAGAAAATTTCAAGTTTCTTTTTTTCTTGTAGACCAACGGAAAAAGTCACCTTCATATTTCAAATAATTTAACAATGAGGAAAACATATTTGGCGTATTCTCGCTTAACAATATGCAAATTTCAAACTGCCAAAGTATTCATACTTTTTTTACGTGTGCTAGAAATACGTCTACTTTAAGAAGAGTAAACATTTCAGATATACTAATTTTTTGCGGAAACTTATAAAAATTATTTTAAATATAAATTAAAAATAACTCTAAAAAAAAATAATAAAAAATCTGAAATGTTCATATTTTAATTACGGTCCAAGGGGCGTTTTTTTAACGTTTTGAGTTTCCCTTTATTTATTAATATCATGTTCTGCCTTAAACCCATAATTCGTTCAAGAGCATACGCAAATAATTTAAAAAGCAATCTTTAGATTTCCGATATACCACCTCGCGCTGGAGATAAAATTTTTTTTCTATATAACGTTGCATTTCTCGCTTTAAAATTGAGTTTGTAATCAAAAATCGTTAGTTTACAAAAATAAAATCTTAATAAACAAATTCAATTGGGGTTTCAATGCCATATTCGTAGGATTCTCCATTCAAATTCGATGCTCTATGTACCATGTTTTATCACATTCGAGAAATAGACACATTTATGCATTTCATTATTTAATTTCTTCAATATAATGCAGGACTCTAAACATGTTGTGGCACGTTTGAATTGAACGACGTTTATAGTCCGACGCAAAATGAAAACGAAACATATCCTTCAGGGACAAAGCCCCTTTGGACTAAAAATGGAGAATTTTATTTGAAATGAACCTAAATTTCGAAGTGAGAAACGAAGAATAAAGTAAGTTCAATTAAAAAAGGGATATTAAAAAACATATACCAAATTCTGTTAACATTGAGGAGTTAAAATTTGGAAAGTTAATTTTTTAAAAACTACTCTTAAAATTTTTACAAAACTTGGCAAATTTGCATAATTTCAGTCGTAGAGTCAAAGTATGGAAAAAATTGCAGTGTCATTTCAGAAAAAGTCCGATTTTGTGTCAAAATGCTTGTATTAGAACAGTTGTATATATAAATCTAATATGTATCCCAAGTCACGAGACATGGAAGACGCAAATTGAATTTCGTCAATTGGCCCAGTAGAATGGGAGATATGGAACTGTCACATGTACTTTTTTCCTCACTGTACTTTAAATTTTATTTAGAAGAAATTAAATTAATTTATGCTTGTATATCAATTCAGATTTTAAATTGTTTTAAAAATTTTTTATACCTAATAATATTATATAAATTAAATTGCCAAATATGTTCAAAACCCTTGCTTTTAATATTCCTTCATATTTTACCTATTACATTAGATTAAAAATTGAATTAAAATTTAATCTTGCTTTAGATTTTGTTCCCGAATGATGTCATGGTTACTGCAAAATTAATGAAGCAGAGAATGTAATTTAGAATTACTTTTTATAACATGTATTTTAAGCAATTACAAATAAATATATTGTATCTGAAATGTAATAATTATAAACTGTTAAATCAAAGTGTTACTTTTGTATGGATTACCATAACGACCACTGGATTTTAGATGAGGAAATTGAAAGTCGATCAAGTTTATAAATCTATATTTCGTAAAATGTGACTGAACCAAATTTTTAATAAAAATTTCTTCTCAAGAAATGTATTATTAAGTTGAAAATAATTAGTTTGTAACGAAAGATGTTACGAGAGTTCATTCAATTTAGTATCTTAAAACTAAGCTAAAACTTTAACATTTTGTTGAACATGCAGCAAATCGTTTCGTTTACCGTTATCTACCATATTACAGACATCAATAAACGCATTCATTTATTTACTAATGTAGCAATAGCAGTGGAACGCCTTTATATAACCATACATGAAACAAAATGCAATAAACATATCCGCATTTTCAGTTCCATCTCATAGTTCACAAGTGTCTCAGCATACAATTACTGCACCCACTCGGTTGTAGCTGCCACTGATATCTGAAATAAGAATAAAAATATCTGTAAGAAATGCCGCCGGACATAAATTGTACATATACAATATTTGTAATAATGATGTATTAGAAAATAAGATTTGGTTACGAGAAATTTTGTGTTCTTTAGAGGACTATATAATGAAGAATAAATTAATTTATATTAATTAGCTTTTCGCCATAAATATAACACATTACTTGTACAGCGAAATGCACTGTGCAATGAAAAAAAAAAAAAAAAAAAAAAAACCTCTTATGTTAAGAGAAATGTTATCTTTTTTGTAAACCCAGTAGACCCTCTGTAAATACAAGAATTCTTTTAACCTCTAGAAACCACACCCCTTAAGGACTTTGTAGGACTTGTTAATGTAAAGGTTATTTTAATCTTCTTAGCACTTAGTTACATTCGTAGGGCTTCCGTAGGACTGTTAATGTAAAGGTAATTTTAACCTTCGTAGGGCACTGTCATCTTAGTTAAGGCTGGAGCTATAACTCCCTTGTCAGTCTAAAGGGCCATCCACACTGTGGTTTATCTGAGCTAACGGAGTCAGTTGTATTGTAGACGAGCTCCGCTATATGTGCAGTTGATATTTTTCAACTTGCTCCATATGAGGAAAAACTGGTTTCGAAGCTGCGTCGCCTATGTCCGTCGTCTCGGTTAGCTCAAATAAACCCCAATATGGAACTGCTCTAATGGCTCTAACACATTATTCAACCTTGCACAGTAAACCCCTACATGACAACAGTGCCTGGCGACGGTGCCACGTTCAGCCTCCCCCCGCAAAATTTCAAGTTTCTACAACATAATAAAATCTAATTTAAGAATTTGAAAATTTTTTCAATAAAAAAAAAATCAGAAAATTCCCCCCCCCATATATGAACTCCTAGCTATTCATCGGCTCAACCAATCGAAATGAAATTTCAGATATTGTTATTTATAGGTATGCGATCGAAAGTGTAATAATTTAAAATAGAATTCTCATGGTTACGGTTAAAGTGAATTATCCTTTTAAATTTTTTTAGTGGCAAGACGCACTTTTTTTTTTTTTCTTGCACGTAGGTCGCCTAAAAAGCTATAAGGGCTTTGGAACGGTACCGTGCAACTGCTGGACTTGTAGCAACACATTTAAAGACCACTGACAACAAGACAATAAAGATTAACGTTTATTGGAATTACAAGTTTTCAATGTGTACAAAGTTTCAAGATACAAGATCTACGGTTTCAAGATCTAGTAAATTGCAGTTCGTCCCACCTTATCCTAAACTCATTCTGATGATTCCTGTTTCTGTGGTATATTTAATCTTATAAGTTTCTCCCCCTTCCGAGCTTCTTCGTGTGTGTGGTTCTGCCGCTGGCCGGCATTCCGAGGTCCTGCTTCGATTCCCGGCTAAGGCGATTGCCAATTTCATCCTGTCTGCTTCAAAAATACCTAATGTCTTTGGAAGCTAAGATATACATTTGACAGTTACACCTAGGAGAATTTTCAGAAATAAAAAATACTATTAAACGTGAAATTATACAGTTTCATCCTCTGATGTTACATTCGTCTAGGCGGTCAACGATCTCCCGCATGCAATGAGCTATCGTCTGTGCGAGGGACACATGGAACCTGTCCCCAACAAAATGTTTTTCTTCTCCCGTCCTCTCTTGTGTTGTCACTGCTTCTTTGCAAATGTTTTACGCCAACAATTTTCATCACACGTGTATCGTTCCGACGTAATTTATGATTTATCTATGTGCTGACATATGGAGTCAGGAAAAGTTTGTAATGTCGTGCCAGCTTAATGTCAGTCTAAAGGGCCATCCACACTTATCTGAAAATGTGTTAGCTTTTTACAACTTGCAAGAAACTCGGTTAGAAACCCCGTGAGAATTCTAGCCTGTTTTAATTTCATACAACATCAAGCTCGCATGCCATAAAAACCTTCCAGCTAATAATCATTTCTATCTGATAATTTTAGAATCATGGTTACGGTAGTATCTCACAGATAGTACCAACTGGAGGACTTCATATAAATCTTTTATTGGGAAATTTTCCAGATCTAAGAGAACGCAGAATGAAATATAATCTTTGAATGGTGTTATGGTTCCATATTTTGTCGACTTCAAAAATACCCTTTGGAAGCTAAGTCATTTGACAGTTACAAATCAGTCAATACAGCATTCGTCTGTCAACGAGCATGCACAGTGGTGGAAATGAAATCGAAACGATACATAAGTAATTTATGATTTATCAAGATGAGCAGGAAAAGTTTGATGTTGCCATAACTGTTTTACAGCCGCGTAAGTAAAATGACAAATCTAAATTACACAAAGGGATAGTTTTAAAGAACGCATCGACTAATCTCAATTGTCCAATCACAGGTATGAAATACGAATAATAATAAATACAAGAACTAGCATAAAACTGTGTGACGTTAAGTAAAATGACATAAATACACAAAAGGTGGAAGTTCCATCTCTCTTATCAAAAGGAAGTTTATATTGTAGGTAGGTATACGCGCTTCCTGATTCAGTTACAAGAAGGAAATGAACACCATTCAATTTCGGTATACATAATAAAATGTGCGTCATTCAATTTCTTCGAATTCGCAACAAAATTGAATAAGCCTGATGAACCGCGCTAGACCTCCATTGTATTTTAAAAGAAAATAATGATCTCCATGGAACCGGTATCATCTGCGCTGAAGAATCTTTTCGAAATTGTCCGCGAATACCAATTCTATCAAATTCACTGGACCATTATGACAGAAACAGAACCATCATCCTATACATTCCTGCCCGAAATAAAGATTCAATCTCTCGTTACCAGAAGGGAAATAAGAGAAATGGTTACAAGATTCAGAAACGTGGCTTTCCCATGTTCTTACAAAATAAGCATGACGTAACATCAAAGAGAAATTCCTCCTACCGTATAGAGAGAATGGAAGGAAGAAAAATCTCTTTGATAGATGATGATTCTTTGATAGATTGCCTAGAAAAGTAGATTAGAACGAAATTGGACGTCTTATCTTTCAAGTTCTCCGCATCGCAGAATCACCAAGAACCCATGAGTTCAGCAGTATGTAGCGGACGAAATTGCGAATAATGGGGGAGTTAGTTGTCTAACGTTCGATTTTTTTACGGAATCGATAAGTCTTGGAATTGTGTTCTTTTTGACCTTTCTTTCCCGTTCCGATCGACGATAATCGATTATGCAAAGAGAAGATATATATCCTTTTCATAAATGTATGATAGCAGGTTTCAGTTTTATTCTTCTCTCATTCACTGAAACTGCCATTTCCTCTCCTTAGCAAGGATATATTCTATTGAAATCGTTTGAACTTTGATTCATTTCTTTGCCTTTATTTCCTTTGGTTTGCGTAAAAGAACAAAAAAAAAGAAAAAAGAAAAAAGAAAAGAAAACTATCGATTCTCAAATTTGCATGAAATGCGCTTTTTGAATGAATGTGCATTCCTTCCAAAAATGAGTCTTTTTTTTTTAACTTTTTAACGCTTAACGTAACGAAACCCGACATGATTGTAGTATAGATATAACTTCAAAGAAATATGATTTCAAATTCAGATTGAAATAAAACTTAAATCTCATTGAATACTTTTAGACTTCTCTGTTCCTTGTGGAGTTTAGAGCAATTAGATGAATTCTAATAAAGCGGAATGAGCTATTTTTCAGGAAATGATGATATCTTTCTGTTAAGATCACAAGATTTTATTTGTCCAATTTTGTCTTTTGTATTCACCACAAGAAACGCCGGAATATAAAACTTTTCGTGGTATTTGATGAAAATTTACAGAGTATTTCTACTACCTTTTACGAACTACCAATAACCAAGCTGTGAAGTCACTGAACACTGGTAGTTCGGTCCGAGGTTCGAATCCCGCGAAAGGGTTGTATTGGCGCTTTCATCTTTTTCCCATGTGTAACGTGTATACGAAACAGTTTCTCTTAGAAATTTATCCGTTAAGGTATCCCTTTAGTTAGGTAGATAGCCCTCAAAGCTTTGCCATAATGACATACACCAATCTACGAAGTAATGTAATCTCGAAAAATTTCATGTACCGTATTTTGAAGGAAATATCCATTTTGACCGTTCCCGAATCCCTTTAGACGGCTTTTTTCCATAGCATCTGAGCATAAGGACAGAATAAAGAACTCTTTTTTTTTCCAAAACGGAATGCAAAATAGGTTTAGAGTGTTTTCAGAATGGATTTTTCCGAGGCAAATATACATACGTTCCTACGTAGGTATGTGTGCATATATCGTTCACAATTCAAAAATTATTATCCTTAGAACGTTGGAATTTTGTAAATGGGACTGTTGTGGTTGTGCCCTCTCTTTTCTATTGGAATCGGCAGAACCAAACGTGTGTGTGTAAATATATGTATGGCGACGTTTCTCAATTAATTTATAAAAAGTGTTTCGTATACAGTTTAAATTGTATGTTTCGGCGAAACGCGATATGGAGTTAGCTGGATTCGAAAATCATTAAAAATAATTTCCCCTGAAGAGCCTTAATGAGATTCGAATTGGGATAATCTACCATTTACCGCTTCTTTGTTTTTGTATTTTTGCTTTAGTCATTTATTGCACTTTAATTCTAATGTTTAAAATATGCCTTACTTTGTTCAGCATATTGCTTACAATTAGTATTGAATTTTATTTATAAATAATTATTATATTTATTTAATTTAATCTTTATTACACTTTTCATTGCACTTTATATTTTCACGGAACCACAGTATCTAAGCAACTTTTTAGCGTAAGAACTAGGAATTTTCTTTTAAATTTTTTTCTAAATTTTGCAGCTCAATACGCAAATTTTTTGACCACATAGGTCTTTTATCGTTTGTTCTCTTTTCTTTAACTATATATATATATATATATGTGTGTGTGATTATTTTGCGGATAGGAATTTGCTTTTAATTGCACATCTTTATTCAATTCAAATAGCAGATCATTTTTACTTTATAAGGTATTTCTCCCCCCTTCTTCGTGTGCATTCTTG